ATATATATATAATTATATATATAATATATATATATATATATGATTGGGTTGGGTGGTATAGGTTAGGTTAGATAAGATCTTCATTCCGGTCCTCGCTGACTCGTTCTGTTTATTAATTATCCTTGAAAAAAAAAATGAAAGTTTTTGATTTAATTTTCTCTCTTGGGTCGAGGTTTTAGCACAGGTGGTTTGGAATAACAGTTATTTTCCGTTATTACCACAAAGATGGTGTTATTTTCTGTTATTACCACAAAAATGGTGTTATTTTCCGTTATTACCACAAAGATGGTGTTATTTTCTGCTCTCTCTCTCGTTTATACTCTTATCTCTCTCTCTCTCTCTCTCTCATTAAACAGTAATTGCATCAAAGAATTAGAAAAAGGAACATACATTATATATATTATTCCCGTGGTATAGACAATTCATTCTTGGTTTTATTTGTAAAGATGTGAAGAAAAAAAATCCTTTCACTCGCAGTAGGTGGTCAGCTGATTAGCCGTTTCACTCACCGTTGTTGGCTGACATGTTAATTAATTAATTTGTTATTATTATAATTATTATTATTATTATCATTATTATTTATTTTTATTTTATTTTTTTTTTGTGTGTTGTGTGTGTGTGTGTGTTGTGTGTGTGTGGTGTGTGTGTGTGTGCTGGTGTGTGTCTGTGTGTGTGTGTGTGTGTGTGTGTGTGTGTGTGAACCAGGCATTTTTGTGATATCGGGGCAGGTAAGGATCTTATCTGCAAATTCTTTTTAAAATGAATAGCTAATACGTAATTGCCAATACAACGAATTGCCATACTCTGAATCTTCTCTTTTTTCAATCCTGTATGAAAATTTACACCTGATTTCTCATCTCTTTCTCTTTCTTTTTGTTTTCTATCCGTTTTTCGAAATGTGTTAGTTTTTCTCTCCTTCGTTAATGTTCTTTCTCTTTTCGCTTTATCTTTTCTCCCTCTCTTTCATCTCTTCTTTATTTCTTTCATTCGCTTTTTTCCCTCCTCTCTCTTTTCTCTTCTCTCCTCCCTCTCTCTCTCTCTCTCATTCTCTCTTTTTTCCAAGTGGCAT